TGAATTGTAGTAGGTATATTTCCATGGTGAATGTAGACAGTTGCTGGTTTAGTTTTCTGGCAATGGCATACATACAAAAGCAGTTTCTACAGTAAATAGATACATGAACTTCACTACCTACTTATTTTTGTTAGTACCCTGATTCTTTTAGTGCTGGTATGAGGTAATGCAGCAGTGGAGAAGGTCGCCAGGCGCTAATTCAAACGGCATCTTAGCGCGCTGTTACGTACCTAATACAAAACAGTGGCCAAATTATTATACATTTAAAAGTTCAGCTTAAATTATGTTTTACTTACATAGAATATTTGCTTCCAAAAAAGCCACGTTCATGCATCCTCTCGGAAATGTTACAATAGTCATCAAATAAAAGCTGTAGAGTCAACAGCTGTGGAGTTTATGGTAGTTGGCTACCGTCCACAAATATAGATATGCACTCTGCATGGCTTTTTAAAATGGCAAGTCCAAAAATTCACTTTGCTGCACACCTTCCTTTTGGTCTACATGAAATTGCAAACACTGTTAATACATTCCATTTTTTCATGTGCTAAAAATCGTACTTATCTAAAGTCCAAAATTATTGCTACGTGTTCCTAATTAATCAATCTTTGTATATTTATTGATTCCTGCAAAATTGGGCCATGTAATATTAAAATTAACACATTTTTCTGCATTGCTTACATATTTTTATATGCGTTTTGGCATTTCTCTCTCGTAATTGCACCAAGTTGTTGCATGTGCAGCATATGCTTGTATAACTGCCATCCGAAGTTTATGGTCCTTGCAGTAATGTATATTCCTTTTTTCACATAGTCCGAAACGAACTAATGAACTAAAAAAGTTTCAGGAATTCTGTTGTGTAATGGCTTATAAAATGTTAGGCATATCATAAACAAGATGGCTGTCATTGGAGGCAGTAATAAATCGCATTATCAAACACTGGAATTTTTCCTTAGTTGACCTTCAAATGACCTCGAACCTGACATGAGGTTTGGTTCAATATGCAGAAACTCTTTTTTTTTTGTAAACCTGTGCCATTAGCAATTTAAATAAGGATTTTCAATCTGAAAAAGCACATTTACCTGTCTTGTGTCAGCAAATACAAGGAAATAATAGACTTATTTTAAGTCGCTTGGTTATTAACGACATTGTAAAGCAAAATATCATTGTATCTGATATACAGCGTGTAAAATAATAAAGTCGTAACTAAGCAACCTTAAGGAATATATAGCCACATAATTTAATTTTTAAGGTTACTTCGTCCATTAATTGGAAACTTTTAGGAATTATTTATTTTAAATTTAAATCGATAGTCCGTGGTTCAGGAGCATGAACGTGGAAATATTGCATTGCGGGTATCAAACCGTCGAAAATATTTTTTAGGAGGGTTGCCACCTGTTTGAAACTTACTTATCTTAATTGATAAAATAAATTATATATTGCAACATAGGCGCATATTCATAGCCATATTAAGTTCACAACTAAGTCGAAACTATCCTAAGTTACAACTAAAGCTATTCATAGTCGCTTTAGTTTCGACTTTTCTGGCTAAGTACCAACTTAAAATTTAGTTTCGGCTGCAGCTGCAATTAAGTCGTAACTAGGAAGAAGTATTTTATTAAATTAAGGCTAAAAGACGAAATATGTAAGAATTAAGTTCGTAGAGCGTGATTTTGATAATATTGAATGATGTCCAATTAAAATTTACAAAGAGCGATCCATTTAAATCGGTAGATGAAATTAAATGTGTATTACAATTCGAATGAAGCTACATCACAATTTTATAATTGGAATGATTTAGATAAATGCTCAAATAATAACTCAATTTCACGCTAGTTCTTTTAAAGTAAATTAGTACATAACATGTAGATATGTATTTGTTTGTTTCACAGCATGCTTCCGATAAACATCTTCTTCACATCCCTGCGGTTGTTTTGGCTATTTCACACAATTAACAAGAAAATGATACCTTAATCATTTGCATGAACATGCAGTGCAAGTAAAAATTACATAAACGGATGATCAAACTTGACATTATTTAATAAAAATGTCATTTTTTCCAAAATATCGTAAAGAAAAATCGATACATTTTCACACTCGTTTTGCTATATCGTAAAATAAGTTAAAACTACTTAGTGGAAGACTGAAATGCGACTATGAATAGAAGTGAATTTTAAGTTAGTACTTAAATTCAAGTTGCAACTTTATTAGTTTCGACTTAGTGGCTGGACTATGAATACGTGCCATAGATATTTAATTAAAGAGGTTTAAGGGAGATAACTGCTGGAAATATTTTTGAGAATCGCCACCTATTCGAAAATTTTAACTCAGTTAAATTGATAAAATAAATGAAATATTGAAATGTGGGTATCAAACTTTACATTTTTAAGAAGGCTTACAGCCAAAAATATGTTTGAAGAGGGTTGCCACCTGTTTGAAAATTTAACTACATTTAATTGATAAAGTAAACCACATATTACAATAAAGGTATAATTTTAAAGCAGGGACCAAAAATAACTGTTATCTCGAATTTACAAATTGAAAACGTTGCCCGAATTCTGAAATTTAACGAAAACGTTGTTTCATAACAGTTAGTAGATGAGAAATATTTTTTCCGTTGCCGATAAGACTTATTTCATAACGTTTATTTTTTACGTTGCCTGATAACGGTTATTGACCAACGTTTATTTTTTACGTTGCCTTATAACGGTTATCTCCCAACGTTTATATTTTACGTTGTCTGATAGCAGTTATTGCCCAATGTTTTTTCACGTTGCCTGATAACTATTATGCAGGAGATATATTTTTTCCGTTGCCAGTCTATATACATATATATATATAATTTGAATGCCATCAGATCTGCAGCGGTTGTTCGATTTTCAAAATTGAGGTGTCGAATTAAAGAGGTTGCCGCCTGTTAAAAATCTAGCTTTAATTATTTCATAAGTTACATGAATTAATTCATTATGGGTATAAACCGAAATTGTTTTTACAGTGGTTCTCGAAACTGCCTGAAGGAGGGTTGCCTAGTTACATTGGAATTTAATTTGGGGAATTAAGAAATGGAAACATGTCTCACAATGGGTGTCAAATGAAAGATGTATAGGAAGGTTGTAGGTTTACAATATTTGAAAGAGGGTTTCCACCTGTTTGAAAACTCGAATTTAATCAAAATATATACCTATACCTAGACTAGTTAAAGGGTATTTTAAAATGTGAAGAGTTTTAAGAATCACTATTTTGAGGCATTTGAAGAGAGTTGCCACCTTTTTGAAGTGGAACTTCTTTAGTGGCGGTTGGTTGGTTGGGACTAAATTGGCAAATTCAAAGGAAATGGCAAAGTAAAGGTGAGTACGTACATAGATGACGAAAAGGATAAAGGCAAAGGCAAAGGTAAAAATAAAAACAAAAACAATGATGCGTAAAGTTAAAGGCAAAAATGAAGATCAAGGTAAATTTAAACACTTTATACGGTTGACAAACGGGCTCGCTTATTTGCATAAACAGCCATTATTTGCTTTAACTCATGCATTTTCCTCTCTAAAATGCGCATCAGCAGCCGAAGAAACACGCCAAATTTTTGGGATTTAACTCGGATTCGGAGAATTTTCGATGACAACACTGGTAAAAAACGGCCAACTGTTGTCTTTTGTACAAGTAAGCAAACAAAGCAGGCGAATTTGGCGTCCGCGGTAGCCGAGTGGTGAGACTCAGGTGCTACAAGCCTGTAGCTGCCAGGTTCGATCCTCGGTTGGAGCTATTGGAAAGAATTTTTTGTTTTCATTATTTAATTTATATTTTTTTATTTAATTTGATTTATATATTTAATTTTACCTTATTTTATTTTCATTTGCTTTATTTTATATCACATTTTTTATTTTACTATTAGCTAATTTAATTTTTAGAGTTGAATTTTATTACAAAGTCAACAACAACTAACTGAAAGCAACCTTGAAAAAATATAGAACTTATAAAAAAAAGAATGAAAATGAAATAAATGAAAATTCGACCGGCCGTGGGACTCGAACCCACGACCTTGCGGCTCGTTTATCCGCATTACTGCCGTCTGTAAGGGTAAAATTATTATGCGCATATGGGTGCCAGAATATATGCCGTCTGTCACAGCTTGAAAGAGGAAGAAAGATTAAAAGAAAAGGATATAGATATGTTTATGCGGACACATAAAGCGCTTTGATCCACTTCGCTGTGATTCAAGACGGATGCATAAACTAAATTTCAATACGCTCTGAATTTCAAAAGTGTATTGACTCGAATTTGATTTCAAATCGCTTTTTTATTTCTCACATCGGTTAGAAAACAGGTATAAACACCTCACGAATTTGACGCGAAGTGAAAATAGACTTTCTTTAAATTTGAATTATTATTAAAATAAATTTGAATTATTGTTCGCTTCCATTTCGGTTATTAAATTAATTATTAAAGAAATATCGAAATAAAACAAGAAATTTTGTATACTTTTGAATACGGTTTCAGCGAGTGCGCTGTAAAGACACAGCTATAAACGCTCGAAAGAAATATGTGTTGAGTCAAATTGGTTTTTTTGTTAATGCGGTTCTTGCGTAGGTATAAACAAGGTTACACAGAGAAATTTACGTTTTCAAATGTGTATGGAACGTTTTATTTTTAAAAACGTTTTCACCCAGGTTTTGCACCTACAATATTTATTTTAGTTTTGAGAAAAAAACATCGCCAATTCATATTCTAAAATGTATGTTTTAGTTTTTAAAATTAACATTTTCAAATCGCTTTTTAAAACGATCGTTTGATAATTGAAAATTCTCATATTCAGATGAGATTCTAAAATGTTTATTTTATATTCCAAAATATGTATGCGTTTCCAAATATGATTTTGAATTTCTATTTTGATTAAAACACAAAGTCATTTGATATTTAAAATTATACATTGTCATACATTTATTGATATGCGTACATATGTAGACATACTTACATATGTATTAATTAGTTACAAAACTTAATAACGGAAAGATATGTACATATTCTGGCTTTTCCTCCACGGGCCTTGATAATTTTGATTAACGCTGGTTAGATCCTGTAATATACAATTACAATTATTATTAAATAATGGATTAGAATTTATTTTTGTAAGCAAGTCTTACCAAAGCTTTTCTCTAATCAACGTTCCCTTCATTAAGTGGCGTAACGATATCATATTTCCGCACCCTTTTGCTGAAGAAGCGAATGCTTTACATACATACATATGTATGAATGTAGCTGGAATCATCTACACAAAATTTTTTTGACAAATAATACAAACAGATGAAAAGTATTTCAGTTTTATAAGTAGCTTTGAAAATTCTAATACTAAACGTTCTCGCTTTAAACCATTCTTATGTTTAATTGACAGAAACGAAATTTTCATTTTTATTTTAGACGTGCTTCGTTTTACTTTTCTGGTTGGAAATTTTGTCGCTCTACAATTTGTAGGAACAATATTCTAAAACGTTTCATTTTAGTTTTAAAAAGGCACATTTTTGGCGTAATTTTTTTAATTTCAAATGTTCTCCTCTGTCAATAGACAAAATATGATATAATGTTCGCTCTTATATTGCGAGCATTACGTTTTAAAATCTGTTATACAAGTAGTGTATTTTTAATTTGTTTGAAGTAAAATTATTATATCGCTATTTTTATCGATTTTGTTATCGATATTTTTGTCGATTTTTTTATCTATGTTTTTATCGATTTTGCTATCCATATTTTTATCGATCTTGTTATTGATATTTTTATCGATGCTTTCGTTTTGCTATCGATATATTCGGAACTTATCGATATAATAATCAATTTCGTTATCGATATTTTTATCGGTTTTGTTGTCGATATTTTTTTATTGATTTTGTTACCTCCAATTAAATGCAACAGTAAAATGTTGATTAAGTATGAAATAGGTATGTACGAAAATTGTCAGCCTTTGTAACTTGCGGGGCATACTGTGCCATGTTTATGTTAAAAAGATAATTGATTCAACCGTATTGAAAAAAATTGTTGACAACAATTAACATCCATCAAAGAATTTTTCAGTGCTTTACTTTTCGTAAACACTTTAAAATTTGTATTTCAACTCTATTTACTCAAACCCTAAGTATAAAAATTAATACCAGTGTCAACCCTTTTGCAAAATATCTGAATCAACGAGCTTGTAAATTTTATTTTCATTCTGCCAAACATTTTTCAAACACCTTTCGTATGGTACTCATCCCGTAATATTTAATCTTAACATTTAAAATTGGTGAAAACGAAAAATGTTTATAAGCCGAAGATTTCTTAGATACCTTTCGTATGATACCAAAAGTCTAATATGTAATAAATGTTTTAAATTTAATTGAATTAAAATTTTCAAATAGGTGGCAACCCTCTTTAAAAATAATTTCCCAGCTAAGCTTTCGTAAGCCGTTTCTTTTGACACCCTTTTTGCGACATTTTATTTACCTTATCATGTTAATTGGATTAAATTTTTTAAACAGATGGCAACACTCTTAAAAAAAATTTAAAATTAAGCTTGCTTAACCCGCTTTAGTTTGATACCCATATTGTAATAATATGTTATTTATTTCATCAATTTAATCGAATTAAAATTTTTAAACACCTGCTAACCGTCTTCGAAAATATTTTCCATGAAGCTTTCTTAAACCTCATGTCCAAATTGTAACCTGATTTCCAAATTGTAATAAATATTTCATAAATCATCCGTAGTTAAATGCGACAGGATCAGAAAAATAATTGTTTCATTTGTTATTGTTTTTCTTATGTGTGAAACTCTTATTTGTTGTGGTCTTTTCTTATATTTAGACCTTCTCTTTGTGGTTTTTTGTTACATGTGGAAGTTGTATTTGCTTTTGTTTCTTCTTTTTAGTATTATATGGGTAAATATATCCCTGAAAAAAAATGGGACTAATCCGGGATGACTCCGGGAGCAATCGCAAAGGAGCATGCGACTAATACCACTTTTGATCTCTTTATATGGAATGTACTGATCGCTTTTGTTTGGGCATGTCCTATGAAGAGACTAATTAGTCACTTTTAAAAAATAAAAATAAAAATTTTCGCCAGCCGAGATTCGAACCGGGGTGCTCAGTTTTGTTAGGCGAATACTCTCTTTATGTGCCAACGCCGCACATGAAATTTCATTGACTAAGAGCGTACATATCATTAAATCGTTAATATTACCCGTTAGAGATGTGTTGGGGACTAATTGATCTCCAATTATACCCACAAGGGATGAGTCGAGACTAATTGACCTCCATTAGTACCCGTATGAGACTAGTTGGGACTAATTAATGCCCAATTGTACCCGATTGAGAGTAATCTCGGAATACTCTCTTTAGAGATTAGTCGCACAATTTTTTGCAGGGATTGTTCACATTTTTGACCATAACCAGAGGTGGGCACTACCACAAACAAGCGTGAGCTAAAAGTGAGCATGTGTTAGTGTACCTAATTCAGTGGTCGGCGCTTCATACCACAATTGTGGAAGATCACCTCACACCAGCGTTGCCGTTTTGCTTAAATTTAAGCAAAATTGCTCAAGTTTTTCCTGACTGTTAAAATGTTAAACTTTTCTTCGTTTTGCTAAATATTTTTATTAAAATAGTCAAAAAGGATAATTTTCCTCAAAAATTCATAGTCAGAAGAGTTACTATTTCAATAAAATTTTCAAATGTATTTTAGGAAGACTCCAGATCCCACATAAAATTCCAGCAAATGTTGCTCTACGCAATTCCCGATCTGCGGTCGTCGCATTTTCAAACCTCCGAGTGTACTTCTGCCGTTCGGAGGCGACCTAGAATTTTAGGTCCCTTCATTCGTGAAAAGATCAACACGCACATTTTGGATAACATGATGCCTAACTCGTTTTTTGCATGCATTCAAAAAACTAGCGAAAGGGCAGATAACTATTATAGGAGTATGTGTTGAAAGCCTAAAAGAATGTGTAAGATGGCCTACTTAAGTAGAGATTGTTGATTAATTTCCATTATTCCTTTTCAGATCATACATTTAGTCTGCACTTAAATGGCTAATTTTGCTATTTAAATATGAGATATGCAACCCCGTGTTTATACCAAACAACCAAGATTGATTGGTAGGTTGTTTAAACAATCCCACCAAATCCCACCTAAAACAATCAGCTGTTCAGCAGAAAATATAAACAAACATGCAAAGGCAACAACAATTTCAAGGAATAAGCAGCAGTGCTGCCAATTGTTTGGCATATTTAAACAAAGTTGATGTGAAACCGAATGAAGCCTAAATGGCATTTAAACAACAATCCACAATTAAACTTAGGTTAGGTTAGGTTACACTGGCCGGCTGATGCGCCTTAATTAGACCCGTTGGTCCTTTGTAGTGCCAGATGGAGGTCCGTTTTACTGCGATCTAAAGTAGTCGTCGTATAGGACGTCAACGCTTTTTTGCGAAGTTCAAGAGTGCCTTAATATCCAGTTTTGAAACCTCCTCTAGTCCTTTAAACTGCGAAGCTCCGAGATAACTAAGACGATTTCTAGCTAAGGCCGGACAGAAACAGAGGAGGTGTTCTAACGTCTCACTCATGCCTTCCTCCCTGCACTTCCTGCATGCGTCACTGTTACTAATGCCCATTCTGCTTGCGTGGGATGCCAGTAGGTTGTGGCCCGTCATTAGGCCGACAACTGTCCTGCAATCCCTACGTGACCGTGTAAGCAAGAAATGGGTGTTTCCTTTGCTGCTATTGCACATGATCTTGGTGGTTTTGCATGTCGCTAATGCGTTCCATCTCCCCCTGATCCGGCACCCAGCTCTTTCGGAAATTTCATTATAGATCGTTTTTTAGCGACTTTTGTATTTCCCGTACTGGTTCGCTAGCAAGACGGATGGCACTTTTGGCAATCTCATCAGCTATTTCGTTGCCTAAAATGCCCTTGTGGCCTGGAACCCAGTATATATGCAGCCGTTTACTCTCGGCCGCCCTGTCTACTGCTTCCCTGCTTCTAAGGACATTTTCTGACGCAATACGATGTGAGATTATGGCCTTAATTGCCGCCTGGCTATCGACATATATATTGATATTTTTTATATAATTTCCTGCGTTGCTAGCTATCTCAGCAGCTTTCCCTACAGCGAAGACTTCCGCCTGGAAAATACTGCAGTACTCTGGAAGCTTGAAGGGTTGCCTAAGGTCTAGCTCGGCGCAATAGACTCCGGCGCCCCCTCCATCAGCCATTTTTGATCCATCCGTGTAGATGTTATACGATCTGCTGGCGGGTCGCGTGCTCATGCGCCATCCGCCCTCCTTAACCGTAGCTTTAAACCTTCTTTCCCAGATGAAGCGTGGGGGTATGTGGTCTATTTTGTCCTCCATCCCCCTGCATATCGAGCTGTGCCCGAAGGTTCTTGCGGAGAATTCACCTAAGGCCATCAATCTCGTGGCGGATTTCGCTGCAGTGCTCTCCACCGCGATGTCGATTGGTGGTAGGTCAAGTAGCCTTTCAAGTGCCGCCGTTGGATTGGTCCTTAGCGCTCCTGTTATGCACAGTGCAGCGGGCCGCTGTAATCGCGCCGTAGAGCAATATCGGCTTAACTACCGCTGTGTAACACCAATGCATGAGGCCAGGGGATAGGCCCTATGTGGTACCCAGCATCCTTTTACATGCGTAAAGGGTACCACTGGCCTTTTCACCCTTTCCTCCACATTTAGCTTCCACATCAGTTTGCTGTCCAAAATTACTCCCAGGTACTTGGTGTGATTCTTGATTGATAGCTCCGCCCCGTTGAGCCTCGGGGGTTTCCACGCGGGGATTTTGTACCTTCTTGTGAACAGTACCGCATCCGTTTTGTCAGCATTTACCTCTAAGTTGACTGTTGTCGCCCATCGATGTACGACCCTTAGAGCGCTTTCCATTACGTTACTGATGGTGTCTAGGAATTTCCCCGTAACAACTATAGCTATGTCGTCCGCATAGGCAATTAGTCTGGGTGCTTTCCCTTCGAATTTTCCCAGAAGCTCATTCGCTACGAGTAGCCACAGGAGTGGTGACAGAACACCACCCTGAGGAGTTCCTCTATGCGCTAGTCTGAGCAACCTGGCTTCGTTCCACTCCGCCTTAATTTTCCTGCAGCTCAGCAGGCTTTTTATCCATAGTAGGATGGCAGACTCTACCTGGGCTGCTTCTAGGCTTTCCATTATTGCCTCATAGGAGACATTATTAAATGCCCCACTTATGTCCAGAAAGATCCCTAGGGCATATTCTT